CAAAATTTCTCAGTGCTTAATATTTCTCTTCAGGAACATAGTAATAATACTATCTGCCTTATAGACCTGTGATAATTACTTGGTATAAGATAGGTAGAGCAACCTGTACTCTGCCAGGCACATATTAAGCCTCAAAAGGCTTAATTTATATACATACATCAATATATTTGCATATATATGCATTTATACATATATCAATTCCTCATGCTATCCAACACATCTTTATAAAGTGCCTGTGATGAGACAGACATTGTTTTAAGTATATAAAAAATAGTGGTGGGCCGGGTGTGGTGGTTCAAGTCTGTAATCCCAGCACTTTGGGAGGCCAAGGTGAGGGGATTGCCTGAGCCCACGGGTTCGAGAACAGCCTAGGCAACTTGGCGAGACCTCATCTCTACAATAAATCAAAAAATTAGCTGGGCATGGTAGCGTGACCCTGTAGTTCTGGCTACTTGGAAGGCTGAGGCGGAAGGACCGCCAGAGCCCAGCAGGTGAAGGCTGCAATGGCCGTGAACATGCCACTGCACCCCAGTCTGGGCAATGGAGTGAGACTCCAACTAAAATAATAATAAAACTAATAACGTGAACAAGATGGACAAAATTCTTATTCTTTTGTAGATTAAACTTTTATGCGGCAAGACATGAGTTAACATATAATCAATTAATCAAAGCATTTTAATATGGTGTTAGATGCTAAATGGAAAGATAAAATGAATTCGTGGGCTAGAGAGTGGTTGTTGGTAGTGGTGGAGGGAGGTGTGGGTCATTAGAGAGTAACCAGGAAAAGTTCTTTAAGGAAGTGATATTTTTATTATCCTAGGATAAAAATTATCATTGTGTTTTCATGGACGTTGATATTTTCTAACTCAGTATATAGCATTTCTATATCTCCCATTCTGTGATGCACTCACATTATTTATTGTGGCCTTTCACCTTTCTTCATGCGTGCTTTTTGTGGAAATATGAGACTCTGCTTCTCTCACCACCAACCTGTTTACCTTCTCCAGCTCTAGAGATGGACGATACCTAGAAAGAGCCAGTTAAGATATTGTGTCTTCTTGGTTGAAGATTAGATGGTAATCTAGGAAAATCCACCAAGCAGAACCTTGAAACTATTGCTTTTACATCAATGTAGAGGTTCTCTATCTCTTACTGAACATCAGTAAACATGCAGGTGCCTTGTTTGTTACTGGCAGATGCATATGTCTATAAAGGAAGTCATATAAACAGAAATAGCAGAGAATGGAAATAAAATGGTTCCTTGATTTCACGGTTGAGAAATTATATCCTTAAGCTTGTTCTAACTCTGGTTTTTGATAAATAATTGTATGGCTTAAGCCACTTCAATTGAGTTCCTTATTAATTGTATAATGTGGTTTTTGACATTTTTCTTTTTGTCATTTATTCTTATTTTAAAAACTTTTAATTTTTTTAATTTTAAAGATGTGGAATACAATTCAGGGTGAGGTTACAAATATTCATTTTGCAGGTATCCTTGCTGATGAGGTGTGCCTCCGCTTTCCCAGGCAGATTCCCACTACTGCCAATCCCCCCTCCCCACTCCCCGCCCCAGTTTCCCACTACTGCCAATCCTTTTCTTATAGTGTTACAATAGTTGTTCAAGGACCTCTTATGAATGAGAACATGTGATACTCAGTTCTTTTTTTCTGTGAAAGATCACTCAGTATTATAGACTTTATGTTCCATCCACGTTGCTGGCAAGCTCATGATTTTGTTCTTTGTTATGGCTGCATAATATTCCATTGTGTATATGCACCACATTTTTTTATCCTCTTTTGATGGCAGCATGGTTGGTTCCATGTTCTTGCTATTGTGAACAATGCTGCGATAAACATACAGGTATCTTTTTTAGAGTGTGATTTGAGTTCTTCCAGGTATATTCCCAGTAGGTGGAAAGTAGGGTCATATGGAAGGTCGATTTTTAGAACTTTTAGGAATCGCCACACTGTTTTCCACAGTGGTTGTACTAGTTTGCACTCCCACTGACAGTGTTCCCTTTTTGCCAATTTATTCCTATTTGACTATTTTTCTCTTGGTTATTTTGTTTATTTGCCTATTAGTGATACTAGCCCATCATTTATATGTTATGATGCAATTTTGTTTTCAATCATTTAATTTACTTTTGGTGTCTCTTGCTGTAAAATTATTTTTAATTATTATTATTATTTTTTGAGTTGGAATCTCACTCCGTCGCCCAGACTGGAGTGCAGTGGCTGCTCCTGGCCACCGCAGCCTCGACCTGCTGGGCTCCAGTGATCCTTCCGCCTCAGCCTTCCGAGTAGCCGGAATTACAGGCATGTGCTACCACACCCGGCTGATTTTTTGATTTATTGTAAGATGAGGTCTCACCAACTTTCCCAGGCAGGTCTCGAACCCATGGGCTCAGGCAATCCACTCACCTCAGCCTTCCAAAGTGCAGGATTACAGGCTGAGCCACTGAGCCCAGCTTATTTTTAATTTAAATGTAAAAACATTCTTATTTTTTGTAACTTTTTCATATTCTTATTTGATTGAAAAAGTTTTTATCTCAATGTTGCAATATACCCGTTTGTATTTTCTTCCCTTGCTCATTTTGTCTTTAACATTTATTATTAGAATTGTTTAATATTGTAAATTTCAAATATTTTTCACATTGTTGGCAATTGTGCCAATAGTACTTATTACGATCCATCATCAGCCCATTGACATTAACTCTTAATATTTTACCATATCGTAAAGGGATATTTGTCTATTCCTGAATGTAATCACCATCTTTTAATTGTTTTTTTGTGTTAGTATCTCACTAATTTTTTCTTCAATTTTTTATTAATATTTTACAGTTTTTGGAACACAGCATTCCTTCCCATTTCTTCTGATTATCATGGCCTGCATTTCTGCTAAGTCATAACCATTCCCTAATTCCCAATTTATGTACAAGTCTGGAACTCATTCTACCCGCAGCTTCAGGAGTTGACCTGTGCCCTACTTCTGGGCTGTGGCAGAATTACATCCACCTAGCTAGAGTGAAGTTCTATGGCAGCCCTGTGACCTAGGAAAAAACAGTTGTGTGCATGAATGACATATTTCCAATCAAAATTAATCCAACTCTTTTTGCTTCACTGACTAAGAAATAGTGTCTCTTCTTTCCTCTTTCTTCTTTTGTTTGAAGCTATGAGGAGATAAATGTGTCACTATTCAAGTGATTAGCACGCTCCTACATGAATCCTGTGACAGACAAATACTTGCAGAGAATAACAGAGCTGAGAGATGCCAAGTGGAAGATCAGACCCTAATGCTATCCTTATATAATATATATATAAAATCAATATATAAAGACAAGAAAATAGAACAATTCAGATAGTGCAATAACTCGGCAAAATCCTTCAATGGTTTCTAATTCAGAATAAAAGCCAAAGTTCAGGATATGAAGTCTGAGAAGTCCAATGATCAGCTATTTGCAAGTTGGAGTCCCAGGAAAGCCAGTGGTGTAGTTCCATCTGAATCCAAAAGCCTGAGAACCAGGGTGTAATTTCCAGTCTAAGGACAGGAGAAGACCAACCTCCCAGCTCTCACAGTCAGGCAGAAAGGATGAAATCTTCCTTTGTTTTTTGTTCTGTTCAAGCCCTCATCAGGTTGTATGATGCCCATCCACTTTAGAGAGAGCACTCAGCTTTACAGAGGCCTAATGATTCAAATGTGAATCTCATCTGGAAACACCCAGACATACCCAAAAATAAAGTTTAGTTAATTATCTGGGTACCCT